ATTCAGGAAGTAAGCAGCCTCTTAGCATAAAATCCTGCCCAAGTTCTAGTGAATAAATGAAAACCAATGCGTGTTTTATGTGCCTGTGAAAAGCAAACATACAGAATGTTATTTTTAGGCTTCTAGGATTTAGGAATCTGATGTGAGTTAATCTGCTTTAGCTCCTGTGCAGCTTGGTCTCTAACTTAGGATGTTAAATAGGATCTGTTGCTGAAGCCTCTACATTGCAGGGTGGTGTTCTGGAGCTTTCTTTTATCTGCAAGGTATAAGAGGAATATGGGCATTTTGGGGTACAGGACATGCATGGCTGCTCTTTGCCTTTTTACATTCTAAGCCAATAATGACTAGGAGAAGTGCTGATTAATTTTGCATTCTAAGCAAAAACATGTCCATTATGTAATTTTGAGGAGAATTTGGCCCAGTCCTAGGATAGGTATGGTGCCTGGCTCAAATGTCTTCAGCAAAGTTGAGATGGATGCATTGTGTCTGTGTCCGAATCTTACTCAGTTTATTTCATAACCTAGTATTTCACAAAAATCCTGCTACTTCCTATAAGCATAAACAATTCAGGATTGTGTTGGACCATCACATCTATTATTTATTTAAGTGTTTATCCTCTATAATTAAAAAAAACTCCTCCTCAACAACCTTTGTATTTTTGCTGTCTGGATTTTACTGTAGCATGGGATTCCATATTTTTCTTTCATCTTTTGTGAAAAAGCATTTCACTTTGTTTTCTGTTTGTTACCTGATAATTTCATTCCATGCCTGCTCGTTCTGATCTTATCAGAAACAGAAATGATTATTTGGCAGTGCTGTTCTCCAGTCACCCAGGACTGCAAAACCTTTTCTATAACTTTCATGCTCACCTTTAGGATTAGCTACATTGAATAAAGCAGAATCAGCTGCATCTTTATTCATTCCAGATTTACAGTGGTTTGCAAATAATTTATTCATAATACAGATCTCACATGTAAACTTCTTCCACCGGGCATCTGTAATTTATTCCTGATATTTTTTTAGATATTAATATTTAATTTGACATTAATCCATGAGAAGATCTTCCCTCTTGTCAAATAATAAACTCTAGTATTCCAAATATATATAGATTTTCTTTATTTAAAAACCTGTTATTCTATAGGGAATTCCTGAAATATGGAGCTAGTTGCACCAGTGTCTTTAAGAACCAAATTTGGTTTATTACAGCTATAAGTGAGCTACTCCACAGAGCTCTACTAATAAGTTGCACAGTGATTATCACTCTGGTGTTCTTATTTCCCCATCACATGCTGGGATGGTTGTTTAAAAGTCTTGTGAACTTGTTTTGAAAAATGATCCTTGATGCAGTAACCCGGGAATATAAAACAGGGTGACATTACAGTTTGTGTGTCTCCAGCTTTAATTTGTATTTAATAACCTAGTTTTTGTTAAGTATATTAAATTTAGTTGACTTTTAAAAGATCACCCACTGAGTTTTATGCACATGCAAATTGTATGTCTGTTTGCTATAGAATTAAACCCTCAATTATAATGACAATAAAGATGTAGTTTTACTTTTAATAATCAATTATCAAATAAGTATCCTGATTAGTACATGAGATTAAGTTACTGATTAAATATTTCCTTATATGGGAGGTTCAGGAACTGGTTTTCTTAAGGAGATTGATCCTCCAATCCAAACAAAGAGTACCTGTATCCAGATTTATATTTAAAAAAACAACTAAAGGAATTTGCTCTGATATTTGCACTTATTGTCACAATAGAAAATTGCAGATCTATGTCATGCACAGATTCCTACCTGTATCAATGATAATTTAATCTGCACCTGTTAGTCAACTGTAAATGAGGATTCAGTGTTACTTTTTGAACTGTTCATGAGCAGTTCTATTGTTTGAGACAAATATCTTCAATTTCTCCATGGGCAAACAGGAAATAACAGGTACTACCTGTAGTTACTGTAAAAAATTCTCGAAGGCATGAAATTGGAAGAGATAAACAAAAAATACCTCTGGGCTGAGAAGTAACTGTGACTGAACAAGAAGCTTGGGAGATAGGAAATCAAAATAGCTGAACTGTTTTTCTGGCCTCATTGCTAATTGGCTGGTGATCTTGAGTAGTGTCAGGTAGGAATTGCATATGAGACCTTCTTAATAGAGTATGAAACTGCACACTTCAGTGCTCTGTACTCTTATCCCGTACCTAAGCCTATAGTGTGTTTTAGTGAAGTGCTTGAAAGTAAAGTTTGTTCACCATTTGACATTTTGAGTGAGTTTATTTTGAGAATGTTGTCAGAATTAAACCTCCAATGTTTTCTCATTTTTGTGTGCTGTTCAGAGCATCAATGTTTGCCTTGCTGTTTTCCCCCTAGGAAGATTGCCTTGTCTACTAATTTGAATGTTTTAGCCTTTTAATCTACATGGATTTTAATGAAAACTCTTTTGACTGTTAGTTCACAGATTTTCCTTGCATTAAAAAGAGCCTGAGGATTTTTCCATTGAAGTAATTTTCCTAATATGGTGAGAAAATGCCAGCATCTAGAAGTGGTGACTTAAAAGGAATGAATTACTATTTAAATGAAAATAAGGCAGGATACTTATTCTGATTCTGCAGAACTTTTTTAAACAGTAGTGCAAAACCCCAGCAAATCTAAGAAAGTCACATCAAATCTTAGAATATAGAATATATAGAAATACATGTAGAGATTTCAGATTCCTGGAGAGAGCAGTAATTTAGAGGGCAAAACATAGCATCTGGATTTGGTAGAGCAATGGTTTGGAAGTGGGGAGATGGAGTTACTGATTTTGGAGAGCAACAGCAAGAAACAGAGAACAAGCATTTCTTGTAGATTGCTCTCATTTTAAAAAAATCACATCTGGCAAAGAGAGATTGCCTTGCCTCTATTCTGGAGCCTTCAGTTTAAGAGGTCCTTCCAGACCTCGCACATCTTGGTGCATGATTTAAATTGTACTGTCCAAAGAGGTCACTCAAAGTCTTTCTTTCTCCCCACTAGTACTTTGTTATCCTTCTCTGAATACAATAGTGTATGAAACACTTACATTGAGAAAATAATGGGTTAAAAAATATTAGAAGTGGACAGTGTCTATTTCCCAGAAAGGCACAGACTTAGTTACTCAAGCATTTGAATCTCTGCAAGAAAATCCTCACAGGTCTTTAGGTATTCCCAAATTACTTATGGTTCCTCTTCTCCTCCTGATAGCACTTAGCAAGAATCATATTTTCCAAAGCCTTCTGACCTGCCCATGGCCCTCTGTTTTACTGAAAGCTCTTGCCAGTATGCAGGACATAGTGAACAGTGAACAAGGACATCACTAATTACTCTAGCTTTGCTTCAGGTCTCACAAATGTTGATGTCCTGGAACTTCTGCCCCACTGCTGAATCAGACTTGTCCAGACACAGGAAATTTGTCCTACTTTACAATAAAAACTTCTGTCTCAAAGTTCAGGAATATCCTGAACATTTGTAAAATGATGGGTGCTAAGGTGGGAATGTTTTTATGAAGATCCACAATCACCACCAGCCTATGGGGATAATTGAGTCTATGGGCAGAGAAAGACCCATTCTAGAGAATTCCCCACTTCTTTTGTGTGACTAAGAGATACAACAAATAGTGCCCAGGTTTCTGACATTTTTTATAATTTCCATCTGCTTTTGTCACTATGATTGCTATGCAGCAATAAATGTTTCAAAATGCTACAGAGAAGGGGAAAATGAAAGATTTTCTCACCTAAAGAATGCGCAGAAAGAGAACGAGAGAGGAAAAGGAAAAATCCTAATATTTCAGAATTCAAAGTTTCAGTTTTAAATAAACCATCTGCTTTACCTAAGAAGGCAAAATATTTCTGTTGAAGTTTTTGATGTTGAGAACAAACACATTATTTCAATTTGCGGGGAAGAGGATGCAAACGTAAAATTTTAAGTGGAACTGTGTCAATTCTGAATAATCACGGGTTAGAGGAAATGATAGTTCTGTAAAACACATTTACTGTGCAACAGAAAATTGGGTTTTTTTCCTTGTGATTGTATTTAAGATTGAGGCTATATTCTGCTTTTATTGAAGTAACTGAATGTCATTATATAACGAATATATCCCCCAGTGTCTAGACCCTGGAACACAGAGTGGGTGAAATCAATTATGTATCTGCTTTCTTCTAGAGCAGCCTGTACATTTTTGTTGTTTCGGCAGCATCAAATATGTATAGCAGATGCCATCTCCTGGCAATATCATTTTTGGAAAGCAGTACTAATCTTACAGAGCTTACATGCAGGAACTGATTTTTATCTATTTTTGAAATGCGTTTAATGTGAAAGAAAGCTGTTACATCCTTGGCGTTTCATAGAAAGCAGTAACATAGAAAACAGAGATATTAGTTAAATGTTCTGAATTTCACTTGATAGTTCCTAAGAGTCTTGTAATAAGGAACTCTGTGTTAAAATTTTAAACACATATAATAGACATTTAAATGCACACTTAAAATATTTTAGAATTCTTAAAATAACAAAGTTTACAGGTAGGGTTTTTTTTTTTCTTGGACTTTTTGGTAAGTTGGAAAGAGAACAAGCTTTGGGACTCAAGAGGTGGTTTGTAAACTAATCTTCAAATTCTTGTCTAATTGTAAACAGAAGAAATACAAATCAAAGTGTAATGATTTTCAAGAGACACGTGTCTTGACTAGCAGAGTAACCTAGTACAGTAACATGGAAAAAAAATAACAGATTTCAGGTGGTTAAAATGCAAACCAGCCTGATTTGACTTGGACGTATTTAGAATATTTTATTGCATTTCATGAATAATTACTGAATTTCAGAAGCATCCCTAAGTGGCAAACAAGTATGATAAGGCCGCACAACAAGCACATGGAAATGAGGTTCTGACATGCAGTGATCTGCTTTATTACACCAACAGATTGCCTGGTGCTCAGCAGAGCATCTCCATGGGGTCTGTGGCCCTGCTGCTGTCACAAAGCTGAAGCAAAAACAATAGTGGTGAATCGTCCAGCTAACCGTAATCTGTGTTCATTTTGTATTTCCAAGTCCTTTTGGACTTACTGATGTTAAAATAAGGAACTAAGAGTAGGTGTCTCTTTGGTCTTCTCTCAAAATTTTATGTTTGTGCCATCCTGTGTTTCATGATTTCTCATATGGATTCCCAAAGGACACCAAACTGGTAAAAGTAAGGAGGTCAGAAATAGGCTGTAAAGTGGTCTAAAGATGTCAGGGCCACTGGGGCTTGAGGAGAAAAAGGAACTGGTAGAAAAAAGCTGGCATTTTGCACCAGATCAACATTACTAGACAAGGAGAAAACTAAAAGCCACACACATTTTAGGAAAATGAGTTTAACCTTGCTGAAGCTTCTCTCGTGTATTTAATGCAACAAATTGCCATTGTTTCTTTTGTTAAAAGATAAGAAAGTAGGTGATTAAAAAATGTTGATGCTAAAAGAATATCCTACATCATTTGCAGCCAACGAATTCCATGGCCTAGAAAATTAGCATTTTGCTGTTGTCAGACATGGAAGTTGCGGGCAAATACTGAAGCAGTAGAGGTTAAAGGGCTATCTTTAATTATACCCAGAAATAGGGTGCTTTTCTGGGTAGCAAAACTGGATGGGAAAAGAAAAAATCTCTGACAGCTGGGCACTTCTACTGCTACATGTGGTTTGTTATAGGGCAGCTCAAAACCCTGATGACCCACACTTGAAGCAGGATGATGAGTCTTTCCCTTGGAGAATCGTAGTAACCATCACAACTGGCCCAAATCAGGCAAGAAAATGCTTGGGGCTTTTGGAACAGACCCATCTACTTAGAATATCATATTCATGTGTAGTAAATATATCTGTGAGGTACTTCTAGACTCAGGCAATCCTGTGCATTCATGTTTATGGCAAGCAGAAAACCATGTCTTGGCAGCTGGAATTGCTTATACTACATTTTAGTAATAAAGCAAACAAAAGTGCTGCTTACCAAAATCATACCTTTTGCAGTGGTTTTAGAAATTCTCAAAAATGTAGAGTGTTTTTTTTTAAAGGGCATTGTTTTGCTTGATTTTTATATCATTCTGCTCAGACATTTTTTGGCAATGTTTTGCTGATGTATAGGGAACAGAGTCCCAGTCAGGGGCTGGTTTTGCCATCGTTGCCTATGTGGGAGCTGAGAGCCCATCTCTCTGGAACATCCCAGCTTAGCTGAGCGCTTCCCACCTTTCACTGAGCTTGTGATCTTGGTAGGGCAGAGACTGTTCCATAGCCCTAATTGCTCTCTTTGCAAGGCTCCTTGTTACAAGTGTTTTTGCGCTTACTGAGGCATGTGAATCAAACTTGTCTGTGTTTGCTTCAGCCCCATAAACAGTGCTTGTTACAATATGGGCTGTTTGCCTGATTATTCAGAAGTCTAATCATTGTAGGCTTCATTCTAGCAGCACTCACACTGAGCTTGTTTTGCAAAGCCCTCTCACCACTTCCATTATTGTTTTGGTACTATGCAATTCTTTCACATCATACTGTTTTCAGAAAAGGAGTGGGGGGAGAAAAAAAAAAAGCAGAAAAAGCCGACACCACAGAAACAGCTTCTTTGCACAGTACAGTACAGTACTGTTTTCCAAGTCGTGCCCAGAGCTACTACTACTTATTTTGTTGTATGGGAAAATGGACTGTTTCCCTTTGGTAATTCTCATCTGCCCAGTCCTAAGCCTCATTATAATCTCTTTTTCCCTGCTTAAGTAATTATTCCCTGGCTCTTAATTCCAAAAGTAGAATCAAATAATAAAACCTGGAAATTGCTGTCACTGATGTAGGGAAAATATAAACCAGCCATGTTTTCCTCCTGGAGGTTTTAACTTGAAAAACTGGAGCGTAACTGTTGTCATTGTCTGAAACTTCTGTAGCGGCTGGTAATTTACATTAATTAAGTATGCAAATAGATGACATAAACAACAAATTGGCCTCAGCGTTAACAGTTTTCCTCCCACATTTTGAGACAAGCAAAGTGGTATAATGGTATGGAAGGGATCTAATTCATCCTAATTCTGACCTTCCTCTGGGAGCAGAAGGAATCCAGCTGGGCTGCTGGTGGTGTTAGGAATTTTGATATATAGAAGATTTTGTTCTTAATGTAATTTCAGATAAAGAATGCTTGACTTTTTTTTCTTTTTTTTTTAGCAACATTTACAGCAAAACAAAATGTGATGAGAATTAGGGTATTGCTGAGCAATCACACTACCTCAAACATGCAGAACTCCTGTTTTGTAAGTGGAAACAGAGCTTTATCATTTTTAGGAGGCATCAAAATAGTTCAAATTATTTCTAGACAGCGTTCAAGAATTTTGGTTGCAGTTTTTACTGCTCTGAAAGGACTGTTTTGTTGGAGCTCTGGAAATTAGTACTTAAGGTTATTGATCCGTTTCCTCTCTGGCTGGGACAGAGAATGTGTGTCAGAAAAATTTTGTAACAACAATACTCATTTATCTTTAGACATACTCTTCTTTTATAGCTAAACAAAATGAATAAAGAATGTATTCATATTCAGATATCTATGCGCATTCGCTGCAGTTTCCCTATAGACCACTCCTTCCTTTATGTCTCATCCATTTTGCCCTCCCAGAAGGAGGGATGCCACAACCTGCCTCAGCCCCAAAGTCCTGGCTTACTTCCCCAGCTGCCCCATATTGTCCCACAGGCCATTTGTTCTGGTCTCACGCGTTGCTCATCTTTCAGTCACGTCATGCATGCTGTTTGCTAATTGCATGGTGGCTAACTAATCTGGGTCTCTCACTCATTTGGGGTGGGGGGGGCACTTCTGCTCTGCTCACAGGCCTCTGCAACATCCCTGGCACTGTAACTATGGGTAAAGGACTGAGCTGTGTTTCATCAGAAGCTTAACTATATTGACTAATGCATTTTCTTTGCAGATCTGTCTCTGCAACTGTACAATGCTGAACATTGCTCTTGTCTTCATACACATACACATTTGCTGCATGTAAATAAATGGTTGTAGATCAGAACCCTGCACTGGTGCTTCCATTGCTTCTTCTTCTGCAAATCACAGCAAGTTTTATGTATTTGAAATGAGATTTCCTTATTTTGACTGTCAGCATCATTCATGTGGTTTTGCATTGTCTCTTCTAAGTGGAAGTGAGACACATTCTGAGGTAAGAATGCTCCTCTGTGCTTTGCCAGTACCTTTGTTCATCAGGGCACTGGCAGAAGACTGTAGAAAGCAAGCCTGGATAAAAGCATATTCAGTAGTTAAAAAAACATCTCAGGTATTAACTTGGCTCCATTCACAACCTTTTAACTTCAAATATAAGACAAAAAAGTCTAATATTTAATATAGAATGAAAAACAAAGATAAACACAGCTGTATTCCACGGTCTTTATTTGACCAAATTATTTACAGTTGCAAATATCTTAAACCTTTTATTGTTAAACTTTGCTATTTTGGAGGGTGATAATTTTTCTTGCATAGCTTTCTTCTCAGCAAAAACACAACAGAATTGTTTGATCCCATATGTTATGAGAACTAAATAAGGACTTCTCCAATAATAATTCAAGGTTGTTCTTCAGAATTTACAGGTTTCCAGATGTGAAGACAAATGCAAGTAAGTTATTTTAACACTGCTTTGGTTTTGTGCAATTTTGGTAAGCTACACATGAGCTCTACAGAGTCCAGCAATCCTGACACAGACTAGGGTTTTTAAAGATCAGTCCTAGAGAATTTCTGTGTGACCATTGCACAAAAAAAAAGGGTATTCTTAAATAACCCACTATGTTATAATTTCATGTCAAAACTGCAGACACGGTGAATTTGCTATGATTGCACTGCAGCAAGAACTACTGGAAGAGTCAGGAAGCAGCCTGGATTTCAAGGAATTAAATTTAAGCAGAGTGTCATACTCACATTTTCTTGCTCTAATCTAGGCCTGTTTGAAGTGATGATAACTGGAGAGAAAGGCCTTGACTTCTGATACTGAAGAAAAATCAGTGTCAGTGAAGTGCAGATTCAAGTGATAGGGCAGGCATGAGTTTCTTCAGAGAGGAAAGAGCCAAGGAGTGCTTGCCATTTGGGGACAGGCAATTCCTAAGGCTTGCAGGCTGATCTATTTGTGGTTGTCTAGTAGTGTATAAGGGCAGCTAAACTCTGTGAAAGATGGAAGGAACATGGCCACGGACTTACATTTCCTTTGGTTAGATTAGGAAAATAGCTGTGCCTAAACTCAAAAGGCTCCATACATACAGAAATGCCATTTCTGCTTAACCTCAGACTCCCTCTGCTTGGATCTTAGGGAATTGTATCATAGTCTGTTTGGACCATCTCTGTAGGCAGTGTCCATGGGGAGCACTGCTGGAACATATATTATTGTTCATACACAAGGTACTGAAATAGAAGTTTTGATCCAAAGTGATCTGGTCCAAATCCTGCCTCTTCCAAATACTATGTGGTGGTGACCACAGGGCTTTGAATCATCTGGTTCTCCTAAAGAGAAACTGGCTCTGTGCCCAGTGAACCACAATGACCTCCTAAATAAATGTTGCAGTAGAAAACTTGATGTTGAACATGCATACTGGCCTTCCAGGCTTTACACCAGGCCAGACCACTTTTATAAAAATAATAATAGACTGTGTTTTCTAAAAAATTGTTGGCATGCATGTACATTGAAAGAAATCTTAATGGGAAATATTAAATGTTTGTATTAAAAAAAAAATCTTTAAATTTTAGATCCTGTGCTTTAACCCATCTTGGCCTTGTGAAATCTTTAAGATGGCAGTGGAGTATCTGAAGTCTTTGGTGAGGTATAATGAAATCTTTATGCTGAGGTAACTTTCTTCCTTAATAGCACGGTGGGAGAGAATCCATTACGTTTTAAATCTGTCTTTGTCTCTGTGGAGACATTTATTTTAAAGTAACATTTTAATCACGGCTTCAGCCTGCAGGGAAAAAAGAAGATACCCAGAGCTGAATAATGCATATCCAACTACCAAAGGGGATGCTCTATTAACTCTGATTTACATATGACTGATTGTTTAAATTTGTAATATCACCATTCAGATGGCATTTTGGAAAGGTGAAGACCTGGTTTAGGGCAACCATAATTCAAGGAGTAAACGAACATAGTTTAATAAACATTATTTGAAAGCATACATTGTCAAAATAAGGCTGACCCGCACCACAATCCCTTTTATAATAAATCAGCTTCCAGGGTCCTTTTCCAACAACTCAGGCTTAGAAATTATTTGCTTGGGTGTGTTTACTGTGGCTATTTTTATGGACCCTTGGCAATTTTAGGGTCAGAAATGACATATATCAGCAGAGAATGTGAATTTAACAAATGTCGTTATAGGCATCCATTTCTCAAACCCATTTTCTTTCCAGAATCAAATCATAGTTCTGCTCAGTTCAGTTCAGTCCAAGCCCTGACCTGCCCACTCCTGCCTTTCAGAGGAATTGTGCCATCCAGTGCCACTTGTGCTGGGCAGAGGCACTAGCAGTGCCACAGACACACATAACCTAATATCTTACTCAGAATGCTTGCACAGTAATCTCAATGAGAATACTTTCAGGATTTCTTTTATGAGCTAGAAGCAGTGAACACTGTTATAAATGCTAGCATATAACACTCTGAGAGGAATAATTGCAGCACATAGTTACTTATGTTAATACTATCACATTATCTTGTGATAGCTGTGCAATTAAATGAGTCACCACTACGCCAAAACCTCATTTGTCTCCAAGCACTCCACAAATATGCTGCATTCACTGTCTGTGCTTCGGTCTGATAGCTTTTTAGTCACTGTATTCTCTTTGTGTTTGGAGAACAACAGAGCTGTGGAGCCTTTGAAAAAATGGAACATGCTGTTTGAAATTTAGTAATAGAAGGATATTAATCTAATGAGTGGTTTTCCCAAAATGTATTTAAGAAGATATTTTTCTGAGTGATATTTATACAGCAATATCTGAACCTTAAAAGAGTGTTTTAAGAACAAAAACAGTGTTGTGACACAACACTGCATCCTATTTACCCTCCACTCTGACTACAGCCTGTGTACTCCATACTCCACTGAAGGAAATCCTGTTGGCACTGTTTTTAATTTTCAGATATTCCCAAAAATATATGCGTAACTTTTGTGCTGAGCAATACTGGAATATCCCAAAAGTGAGGAAAGTATGCCACTTGAAGAGTGGTCAGCTCTTGGTTTCTGGTAGGAAAGGAAAAGGAACCTATCAAACAGATAGGAAAAAGCTCGCTGATGTTTGGGGAAGGACATTTTGACAGCAAATATGTTTTGTCCCTTTTGTGTTACAGTGTTGCAGATTTGTGCTGAAGAAATTATATCCTGAATGGGGAAGAAAACTGATTGAAAAGCATTCCTTTCCCATGCAGAGTCTCTTCTGTTTCTTTTCCTAATTAAAATCTGCAGTCTGATTTTTTTGTGTACCTGAAGACGCCTCTCTGGGCTGGAGACACAGCCAGGTCGAAATGTGGGTAGAAATTACTCAGCTTCCACCTAAATCATTGTGGAACTAGAACATTGCCTCAGTGCAAGGGAGAGCTAAGCACAGGCACAACAGCTCCACTCCTGGTTGCTGTAGCAGCTCAGAAAGGAACTGAGGAAAAACAAAGAAAAACAGAGTTAAGCAGCACTTGAGAAAATGTTCCCTGTGGCCTCAGGACAGCGTTCTGTTATGGTCAGAGGCTGTTAAGGCTAAAGAAAACAGAAATCAGGAGTGGTACATTTGTACCCCAGAGTTTAATTGTGACCTTTTGTATTTAGGCAATATCTTTTCCCAGCCCAGGAATTAAATATAGTACAGAGAGACACTCCTCAATGTGACATCAAGTATCGTTCTTCCCCTGAAGAAATAAATGTGAATGATGAAAGCAGGAATGTGGAAATAAAAGTGTTACTTCCACACTTATAATGCCAGCTAGCACTTGTTACCAAACTTGTGAAAATAACACGATTTACTGTAATAGTTTACACTTGACTAGTGAGGTATAAAATATCTTTATCTTATAGCCATATAAACCATGGTTAAATTAGGCTGAAGAGACACACAGAGCAGTGCCCACAAAAGGATTAGGAGCATAAAAGCATTACAAATACAAGAGGCAGAAGCAGAACATCCTGTTCAAAATATATGTTGAATGGAATGGAAATGAAAGGAATTAAGCTAAAAAGAAGATGAAACAGGTCAGCTCTTGGGTAATTCTTAATCTGAAAGAAAAGTTGATTTAAGATGAGGCTATACAAACCCCTTACTTCCCTGCAGCATTTTGACTGATAATAAAACAAGGACTCTAAATGTGACAATGGTAAGAGATAATGTGATTAGTCTGATCACTCAGATTTTCACCAAAACAACAAAAAGCTTTGATTTAAGGAGTATCACTGTATTTGTGTGCTCTCACCTATCTAATTATTTGCATTGAATACCAGAAATTTTCAAGGCTTTTTTTCCTTTATTTTCACATCAGGGTTACTCAGAAATGTGAGGTGAGAGTATTCTCTGTTCTTGTGTCTGAGAAAGACAGGGATATCAAAATTTCCTTTCCAGGTATGGGAATTAGTCGTTCAAAAATAAAAGTAACAAAGCCAAACAGCTGAAAACAGCCTGAGTGGAAAAAAACATCTCAACTGAATTACACTTTTCCCCATTTCCCTGATGTGATAAACCTTACACTCTTAAAAGATCTGTCTTTTAAATGGAAAATCAAATGGAAAACCTCAGCGCTTTGGGTTTTTTTTATATGTCATGAAATATTGAACAAAAAAGAGGTCATAAGCCATTTTGTTGACTTTATAGGTCTCGTGAGACTTCTTCAGGCTCTCTTCTTGTTTGCTGCTGTACATCTGGACTGAGAGTCATGCAAGATGGCAGGTGTAAGTTGCTCTTGGAGATGCAACACACAGCATGCAAGACAAACACTTCCTTTCCTTTTTCCACCAGCAGAATAAAAAAAACTTTGGGCCACGCTCTTGTGCTCTTGTCCCCCAAAACCA